GGGGCTTTGCAGATGCTCCTTTCAAGCCCCCAGCAGCTCGTTACCTTCTTGGTGTTTTTTCCAGGGGATGCCACACCTCCCGAGGACACTGGGGACATCGGGTTTTGCTGAGCTTAGCATCTTTTCACCGTCGTACCGAAGGCATCAGACAGACGCTCATCTGCCCTGAAGTGCAGATCTGCAACAGCTACCAAGAAGACTCTGTCTGTCTCTCTGTCTCTCTTTCTCTCTCTCTCCAGTCCAAACCATTACAAGATCTGACTTCCACCATCTGGGAATCTAACCCCTTTTATGTCCCTTCTCCTTTTTCTACGATGACTCACCATTATTTTTAACTTTGAAGAGAGAGGAAATTATGGGGATCTTGGAAGCCTGTATTTCTCTCTAGGATTTCCCCAGGGTCAGATAATCGGTGTTACTAAGAGACACTAAGATTTGGCTTCTCCAGGTAATGTGATTTGTTTTCTGTGTGCCATGGTGGTTTGCAGAGGATGACAGGAGCCGGGACACCAGCGGTTGAGGAGGGGGACTGCAGCGGTCTGTGGGGCAGCTTCAAAAATTCAGCCAGCCGCAAAGCTTGCCTGGTTGGCTGCAGGCAGGGAGGGCAGCATGTCTCCTCACCGCTTTATGGCCAGGGCAAGAGGATTGGGAAGGTGTCGAACTTAAAACCGGAGCCCGTTAGCAGGGTAGATTGCCTGAAATTGCACGGTTAAATGTTAACCCTTAGCTGCATGTCTGGAAATGAGCTGAGCCTGGTCTGCCTCTCCCCGGCACCCTGCAGGGTCCCCATGCCACTTTAGGGCTGGATGGGGTTATTTTTCTTCCTTTCTTTCTCTTCCCTTCCCCCTCATTTTGTGTTTTGTTGTTTTTTTTTTTTAATAAATTGGAATTTTTGTTTTTAGCCAAAAAAAAAAAAAAGTTCTGGTTTGCCAACACCAGGTTTTCCACGCTGGTTTTGAATAGGTGACGGTTCCTCAGGTGTTTTCTCTCTTCCACCTAATGGTTTTAGATGGGAGTTTTTGAACTCTGTCCCAAAGAAGGCAAATTAACCCCCCCGAGGAAGGGCATAGACATGTTAGCGAAGGGAGCTGCTCTCCTCCCCCCAACTTTATTTCATCTCTCTCTTTCTCAGCAGGGGCAATTTTCTTTCCTTTTTTTTTTTTTTCCTCTTTTCTTTTATCATCCCTTCGCCTTTTCATGAGACACTTCCAAACCTACGTACCTGTCCTTCTGCAGGATAGTAGCCCTGCCCTGAATCCGATCCCACCACTGGGCACTGGGAAGAGTTTAGCATAAGGATTTCTTTTAAACCCCAATATGACAGTTGCTACCGGAGATCCTGCAGATGAAGCTGCAGCTCTTCCCGGTCACCCGCAGGACACGTATAACCCTGAGACCGACCATGAATGCTGCGAGAGGGTGGTCATCAATATTTCGGGTCTGCGCTTTGAGACACAGCTCAAGACATTAGCCCAGTTTCCAGAGACCTTACTAGGGGATCCTAAAAAGAGAATGAGATATTTTGACCCACTCCGGAATGAGTATTTCTTTGACCGGAACAGACCCAGCTTTGATGCAATTTTGTACTATTACCAGTCTGGTGGTAGGTTGCGGAGGCCGGTTAACGTGCCCTTAGATATCTTCTCAGAAGAGATTCGTTTCTATGAACTGGGGGAAGAAGCGATGGAGATGTTTCGGGAGGATGAAGGCTACATCAAAGAAGAGGAAAGACCATTGCCTGAGAACGAGTTTCAGAGACAAGTGTGGTTGCTGTTTGAGTACCCCGAGAGCTCAGGCCCTGCCAGGATTATAGCTATTGTCTCTGTCATGGTGATTTTGATCTCCATCGTCAGCTTTTGCCTGGAAACATTGCCCATTTTTCGGGATGAGAATGAAGACATGCACAGCAGTGGGCTGAGCCATCCCCCCTACTCCAACAGCAGCATGGGGTACCAGCAGTCAACTTCTTTCACAGACCCCTTCTTCATTGTGGAGACACTTTGCATCATCTGGTTCTCCTTTGAGTTCTTGGTGAGGTTTTTCGCCTGCCCCAGCAAGGCTGGGTTTTTTACCAACATCATGAACATTATAGACATTGTAGCCATCATTCCCTATTTCATCACCTTAGGGACGGAGCTGGCTGAGAAGCCGGAGGATGGTCAGCAAGGCCAGCAAGCCATGTCCCTAGCCATCCTTCGAGTCATCCGTTTGGTGCGGGTCTTCAGGATCTTCAAGCTCTCCCGACACTCCAAGGGGCTGCAGATCCTGGGGCAGACTCTCAAGGCCAGTATGCGGGAGCTGGGCCTCTTGATATTTTTCCTCTTCATTGGCGTCATTCTCTTCTCCAGCGCCGTCTACTTTGCTGAGGCCGACGAGAGCGAGTCCCAGTTCCCGAGCATCCCCGATGCCTTCTGGTGGGCTGTGGTTTCCATGACGACTGTTGGCTACGGAGACATGGTCCCCACGACCATCGGGGGGAAAATAGTGGGTTCCTTGTGTGCCATCGCTGGCGTATTAACGATTGCCTTACCAGTGCCCGTCATAGTGTCTAACTTCAATTACTTCTACCACCGGGAGACAGAGGGAGAGGAGCAGGCTCAATATTTGCAAGTAACCAGCTGCCCAAAGATCCCCTCTTCCCCTGACCTAAAGAAAAGCAGAAGTGCCTCTACTATTAGTAAGTCTGATTATATGGAGATTCAGGAAGGCGTAAACAATAGCAATGAGGATTTCAGGGAGGAGAACTTAAAGACAGCCAATTGCACCCTAGCTAACACAAACTATGTGAATATCACCAAAATGCTAACTGATGTCTAGTTGCTAAAATCTAGTAATGTATTTAAAGCTGAAGTGGAACAATTGCAGATATTGAGTGCTGCTCTGCATTGTAGTTAATACAGTATTTTCTACGGTGTATATTTGGTTCTGCATGGGAAGCAATAGCTAAGTGACTTTTAACCTTTGATTTCCACCCTGAATAAGCTTTCATGCAAAAAAACCCAAACCCAAACAACCATTTTGTTTCCCTTCTCCCATCCCAGGTTTGTGGGTTTCCAAAGATACGGAGCAGTTGGGCATTTCGAGCAATGGGATGAGGATGCTGGGGGGTGGGAGCAGGTCCGGGCTACCCCGGGGTACCACAAATGCCGGTCCCTGTCCCATGGAGCTGGGTGACAGCCAGCTTCCAGGCACGGGGAACGGCTGGGAAGGGTCAGGCAGAGCTTAATGAAGGGAAGATGCAGTCGTGTGTCCAAATTGCTTGAAGGCTCGGGTTCCTGCCCCGGGAATGCCAAGTGCAAACGCATTGCCCAGGCTCATGTTTCATAACTGAAAATGCTGCATGCTGCAATAGTTTCAGCCACTGCAGTATGCCAGTGTGAGGCCCAGGGGAGGGATAATTAGTATGACGGCACATTATTTATTAAATCTTAAATTTTCTATGCTACGCATCAGGAGGGACAAGTAAATAAATCAAGTGCTTGGATTTTATTTATTTATTTAGATGACACTTCCATCACCCATATTTCCAGGATCACCAAAGACACCTCCACTGACACATTGAAAATGAGTTGGAAAAAGCATCTTTTTTTATATCTATATATAAAACTGGAGCAACTATGCTGTGGCCTATAATATATTTATACTGCAGTGAAATTTAACCAGTAATACAGTACAGCTGCATGGATATTTGTTGCATGAATCTGAATATTTAATACACACACAAATATATATTTTCTTAGTAGACTATACAGTATTCATGTTTATAGTGTTTATAGATTCTCCGGTGGCTCGAAGGAGATTCATGGAAGTTAAAAAATCTCCATTATATTTAAAAACTGGATGGGGAAGGCATGTGCTGACAACAGTTTGATACATAACAGGGCAAGGCAAAGCCTGAGTGTCCGAGCATCCAGACACAAGAGCCAACTAATGCAAGCGAGGGAAGGTGAGCTGAAAGTTAAATACCTGCACTCATTATGGGGCGAGTAATTAGTCATTAATCTTGGTGTCATGAGCAGAAACCACAGCGGATTGGAGAGGGCACAAGGAGCAGGTGGAATAGCAGGTATCGGCTCTCCTGACTTGTTTGTTCAGCAATTTTCAGCCATTTCCCATATAATTATTGTGTGTGTGTATATAGATATTTAGAGAGCGACTATAGGGCTGAATCCTCAGCAAATGTGAGCGCTTGGGGCATCGGGGACTTCCTCGCTTAGGAGTGCCGGAATGGTGGGACAAGGGCTGGAGCAGGACAACCAGCCCTGTGGTGCCCGTGGGATCAGCAGGGCAGGGTGCGTTCTGGGCTGGAAAACTCCTTTTCATCCATGTAGAGCCTCAGGGCTGGTGGTTTATTCCTTTATGGATGTGCTGAGGGTGGGCTGGATCCCAGCTGGCACCTCTGAACCTTTGCTTTGCCTTCTTCCAAGGTTTTTAGGAGGGGTGAGTTGAGGTGCAGAGACACTGAGGTTGTCTCTGTTTCTTCTTCATCCCTGATGTTATTTGGGGATGGGTGGGAGCTGTTGGTCCAGGGGGATCTGGTCTGCTTTTCCCATCCCCACCCAGATTTCCTTCTGTTCCCCCCCCCCGCCATTGCTGACAATCCCCAGGGAATGGCGCCCTGTTCCTCTGCCAGGTCTGGGGAGAGGGATGCAAACCTCTTCCAAGGTGATGGTCGAGCAAAGCCTCCCTGGGGTACGGGATGGGGTTTAGCAGCCTGTTGAGTTGGGGTGAATTTGGGCTGAATTAGGGCAGGGTCAGTGCGGTACCACTGCAGTGAAGTATGGGCACAAGGAGGGAACCCCATCGCAGGGCATGTGAGGGAGGTCAGTCAGACCCTTCCCGAGCTCAGAGAGGAAAACCATACTAATAACAATAAAATAAACGGTGCTAGCGTATTCTACAGCAATGGTTCAAAATGCTGCTTTAGGGCTGGATCCATCTCTCGTGCTGATGAGACTCCACTCAGCCAGGTGGAATCACTCCTCATTTTTATTTTATTGATTGATTCAGGCCTGGCTATAATTAATACCAAGCGTCCACAATTAGTGCACGAGAGTCCTGGTTTCTGCTTGGTGCAGAGGACCAGCAGCATCAATGCGTTGTGTCTCAAAGGTGCTCAGCACCATGCAGCATGGGGCCCCCGGCCTGTCTTTAATTACATCTTGTTATATTCGGAGCCCTCTCCTCCCTCTCTGCTGCTGCGCCTCTGAAACAGGAGCCCCTGAAGCCCATTAACATCTTACACACAAAAAAAAGTGATGCAACTGAAAGCAATAAAGCTCTGCTTCTGAAACTCATCCTGTAAAATGGGATGGGCTGGCGTGAGCCACCAGCTCCGGTGCAGTTCCCAGGGAGGTTGGCCAACTTCCATCGATCCAGCTTGTCGTGGGTGCGTGGGGATGTGAGCTTGCACGGGGAAGCTGCTCGATGCCCCAGGATGCTGCCCACCAACCCACGGGTGCCCCTAGCACTGGGTGATCCCATCTCTGGTGTGCGGGAAAGCACTGAGGGCAGTTTGCTGCAGGTTTTTTGGAAGGATGCTTGCACTCAATGAGACTTTGCAAAGCGCCCGGTTGTTTAATGCCTGTGGGCGTTGGATGATTTGAGGGGAGCATTTGCCAAAGTATTGGGTGCATCTTGGGACCGTGAGAGCTGTTGTGCTTTGGTAAAGAGGAAGATCATGGGGTTTTTGGGGAGGTGGTGTTTTGGGCACGGTGTCCCCGTAGGGTTTCCGAGGCTGGGCAGGAGGGGAGGGAAGGTCCGTGAGCAGGATCAGGCACATCCAAACCCATTTACCGAGCTGGGGGGTCCCGGCTGCCTTGGGAAGCCCCAGAGCTGCATCACAGGGATTAGTGGGGCCAAAGAGCAAGAGGCCACCTTCCGCCTGTCATCACCGATGTGAGCTGACATCTGTCCCCATGGCAGGGGCCAGCACAGCTGATCACTTCCTTAGGATGGAACCTGCACCTTTTGCATTGACCCAGGCAGATGCTCCTGGGGAAAACAAGCCCTGGTGAGAAAGCATCTCTGTGCTGCCCTTGGCACCATGTATGGGAAATGGGGAAAACACTTGGATAAGCACTTGGATGCTTGGTTCAGGGCGATAAAGGTCTGTGGGGGCCGTGGCTGGAAGCAACCTGTCAGGCCCCATGAAGCAGAAGGGTCCAGGTTTCTCCCACACACAGAGAAATGGTTTTCCCTCTAGCCTTTAATGGGATTTGTGCCTGCAGGTCGGAGCTCTAGTGCTATTTCTAGCTTTGCTTCTGACTCACTGATGTGATCTTGAACCAGTTTTCAGGAGGAGACTGTGATTTTTTTTTCTTTTTTCTTTTTTCTTTTTTCTTTTTTCTTCTTTCTTTTTTCTTCTTTTTTTCTTTTCTTCTTTTTTTCTTTTCTTCTTTTTGTCTTTTTTCTCCTTTTTTTTTTTTTCTTGAGGAATATGGTTTGATTCTGGGCCTGTTTCTGTGGAGATGCTGAGCATTCAAAACTCCCCTTGAGTCTGAAAGGGTGCAAAAATGAGCTGCAAAGTGGCTCAGACAGAGGATGCTAAATTAGGGACCAGGGAAGTGGAGAGTCTTGCTATCTACATTAGATTGCATCAGGCCACCTAATGTAGCTGGTCTGGTTCCTTTCCTCCTACCGTGGAGATGTTTGCCTTTCTCCAGGGGTGAGATGGAGGACTGAAGCTCTCTGGTCTGTGGAGGTGCCCCTGGGCTGGCACCCAGAGGAGACAGCACCTGTATTTTAGTTTTATCCTTTGTACTGTGGTTTTGGAGAGATGGAAAGCAGTGATTACAGTGTGGGTTGTCTTCTAACACCCAACCACATGCCCAAGCCTGCAAGCAACCCACCAGCCCTTTAATACCTTTCAAAATCTCTGCTAAGGGCAATGGGTTGAGGCTCATATACTGGCTGGACACCACCAAGTGACTAGAGCTTCTAGGGACAAATTATCTGTGTGGACCAACGTGTTTTATCAGGAAAACTAATCTCTGCAGTGATGGTTTGTGTCGAAGTCCTACAGATTTGATTACTGAGCTATATGAAGAAAAGGATCTCTAGATTGGTGTTATGAGAGTGCAGCATGTGGGTGTATAAATATGGGCATATTTGTGCATAAATACACAGAAGGAGAGAAAAAGACGGAGGAGGAGGAGGTATTTCAGGAAGGGCCTTGCTTTGTTATCAGATAATTCCTGGGTCAGCCCTTGACATTGCTGCCAAAGTCTTGTAGCTTTTCCAGAGCTTGCAATACACTTAGGGAGAGGCCCAAGCAAAGAAGGAGATCTGGATCTCCCCTTGGAAGTAGGGGTACCCCGAGGGGCTGGTGGCATCCGGTTCCACGCATCCCTCTGCAAATCAGCAGCTTTGCACCATCTCTGCTCTGGATCCTGAATCCCCAGCTTGGGTCCGTCATGACCATTTCTGTGACTCCACAGGCAAAGCCAAGCAGAAGTCGAAGGGATTTGTTTGAGATGCAAGCACTGTGCCACAACAGGTGGGGTTTTTCAGGGGGTTTTTTTGTGATGGATGGATTGTAAGTCCCTTGAACCATGCTAGCTTTGGGTCCCGGGGTGGTGGCAAGAAGCATCTGCCTGTTTTGGAGCTGGGGTGTGTTTATCTTGGAATCTACATCCATGAGGAGGGGTGGGGAGAGGCAAGCAGTTTCTTTGGTCAGTGGGGGCTGGTCAGCATGCTGCTAGGGCAAAAGGGTCTGAGGGGCAAAGAGAGGAGGAGTCAGCCCCAAACCATTTCACTTTGTGCCCAGAAAAGGCTGTGGATCTCTCCTCACACCCCTGGCAGCATTCAACCTTCTCTGCATCTAGCACATCCCTTGGTCCCTCCAGTTGGGGACCAGCTGCTGCCCCCCAACAGGAACCCCAAGGGGGGACAAGGGTCCCTCCCATGCACCAGCCACTGTCCTGCCTCTGGCCAAAGCAGTGCCCTTCCCCAGCCCCTATCTGAAAGGCACCCCGTGGCCTCAGTCTCCCCATGATGTTACTGCATTTGGCTGCCCAAATTTCATCCCCTCTTCTCAGAAACAGGTGCTCGGATTCTGCCGCACCCCATTGCCAGGGAGAGGGA